TCTGTGACTCCTTCCTTCCCAGCTAGTGACGTCCATTCTGTGCTGGCGTTGGGGACACAGCAGAGAGCAAACAGGCAGAAACCTGCCCTCCTGGGGCCACATTCTCCTGGTGGACACCCCGAATGTCTGTGGGACATCTCTGTGACCAGGTCAAAACGTGCAGCTCACAGATGCCATGCATGGCCTGGGTGGCTGTGACAGTGACCACAAAGCAGGGCATCACAACCATGGACCTCATCTGTCCCCATCCTGGAAGCCAGGAGGCTGCCGCCAAGCTGTCCCAGGGCCGCGCTCCCTCCGGAGGCCCCAGGGGACGGTCCCTCCTGCCCCGTCCAGCTCCTGGGGGCTCCAGGCGTCCCCGGGCGGGTGGCCGCCTCCCTCCCGTCTCTGCCTCCGTCTCCACGTGGCATCCCCTCTGTGTCTGTGTCCCTCCTCTTCTGTCCCCGATAAGGACAGTGTCATTGGGCTCAGGGCCCCCCTGATCCAGGACGCCCTCCTCTCAGATCCTTTACTTGGTCCCATCTGCAAAGACCCCATTTCCACATCCTGAGGTTCCGGGTGAACGTGAATCTGGAGACACTGTTCATCCTGTGACATAGACCAACCAGGACGCCTCCGCGTCCCATGCAGCTCAGGTTCCTATGTCCCCAAAGGCTCGGGCAGGCGAGCCAGCGCCCGGCGACCTGCGTCACCTCCGAGTTCTGCGCTCTGGCTGTGGGGAAACGCGTCCACGCGTGCTGCCCGTTCGCGGCGGTGACTCGGTGGCTGCTCTGCTGAACATCAGACTTGTCCCTGGTCCCCAATATCCTGGAACATGGCTTCGTGTGGCCACAGGTAGGGCCGGCTTCCACTTCGCCGCTTGGGGTCTGAGGCCCTTGCAGGTCAGATTTTAGGGCTCACGGATAGGTCCCCGAATTGTCTCTTGTTTTCCATCCCTGTGGTCCTCCGCTTGGCTGCACGTCCCAATCCATCCACGTCTCCTCTCCAAGGCCGTTCCTTCTCTTTGCTCCTGTCTTGCCGCCCTCTGTCCTTGAAGGGAGGATGGATGGATGAACAGACAGATTCCACGCTGTCCGTCTACGGGCGTGCCGGCTTCTGCTGTTCCGTGGTTCCCAGTCACGGCTTCTGAGCCCTGAGTGCCTGGGAGGAGAGGGGGCTCGGCCACTGCCGGCACCTCTCAGAGCTGGGAGGCCCCCGATGTCGGCAAGGGCTTCTCCTGAGGCCGGGAGGACAGAGCAGCTGGCATGTGGAGGCCCCGGGACCCTCCGTCTGGCACCAGATGTCCCTGAGTCACCCACTGGGCGCTGAGCCTTAGATGAGACACCGGGGGATCAGAGCCCACGGGCCCGGTGGAGGGGACTGTGTGACGCTGAACTGTCGGGACGAGGTCATTCCTGGTGGAGGCCCAGGCGACGCCTTACAAACTGCGGGGGAGGGGAGCACTGTAGGACGCGGGGGCGAGAACGTACATGATGTGACCGGGACATCGGGAGCCCGGGAAGGGACCCAGGCCACTAGCTCTTCTCTGCTCCATGGCCTGATGACCCCCGGAGACAGTCAGACATCCACCGGCGGGAATGGGGACAAGGAGAGACACGCAGGGCTGCAGAAGGACGTGACCAGGGGGCATCTGGGAGGACAGGTGTGGGGCCAGGACGGTGACACGCAGCTGAGCCACAGCTTGGAGTCCATTGCCACCAAGTTCACCCAAGTGCACCCGCGACCCAAGTGCGTCCTCTGGGAAGGAGTAAACAGCACCAGAGGCTGGATGGGGGCCATGCATTCTTTGTGAAATTTACCTGGTTTTTGTTTGTTTGTTTTTAATAGAAATGGTCATTATGCCTTAAAAGCGGAAATGTGCTGACAGGGGCTCACCTGGTTTGCAGCTGCCCGAAACCCGGCTCAGCAAGTCGTGTACTTTCTCATCGGGCCAGTCGTGGAGGATTCCAGAAAGAATGTAGAGGTCTGCCTCCGGGAGGCTGTCCTTGAAAAAGTTACCTGGTTGAAAACAAAATGTCATAAACCCCCATCAGGGGCACCAGAACTGACCCTCCACCTGACAGAAGGGGGGACTTGCCACTGTCCGGAATTCAAGAGAGACGCCACTTCTGGTGGGGACACTGGGTCCTCCCAAAAGGACACGTCCACGTCCCAACCCCCAGATCCTCAGAACGGGGCCTTGTCTGAAAACGGGGTCTGTGCGGATGGGACTGAGTGAGGGGTCTGAGAGGAGGTCGTCCTGGGTCAGGGGGGCCCTGAACCCAACGACAGTGTCCTTATCGGGGACAGAAGAGGAGGGACACAGACACAGAGGGGACGCCACGTGGAGACGGAGGCAGAGATGGGAGGGAGGCGGCCACCCGCCCGGGGCCGCCTGGAGCCCCCAGGAGCTGGACGGGGCAGGAGGGACCGTCCCCTGGGGCCTCCGGAGGGAGCGCGGCCCTGGGACAGCGTGGTGGCAGCCTCCTGGTCTCCAGGACGGGGGCGGATGGGTTCCTGTTGTTGTAAGCTCCCAGTTTGTGTAGTTTCTTTTCTTTTCTTTTTTTTGTTTTCGCTGAGCCATCCTGTCACCTGTTGGCAGCTCAGCGGCAGCTCAGCTTGGGCCTGAGCTCTTAACCAACTGAGCGACTCAGCCCGCCCCATGTAGTTTCTTTTTGCAGCCATGGAAAAGTAATACCCACAAAATTTTTTTAAAGTTACACTGTTGCTCTGCCCCTGGCAAATGTGACATTGTTACTATGTAGTTAGGCTAGACACAGGCTTTTCCCGCTCTGTCATTACTCCTGAGATGATACAGTATGACCACTCTTGACACAGCAGTTACATTGTATCGGGTGTTGTAAGTAACCTAGAGAGGTTTTTAGGTCTATGAGATGCTGTGTGGAGGGTACATGCAAATGCTGTGTCATTTTTCCATAAGGGATGTGATCACATGCGGACTTTGGGGTCGGAGGGGGACCTGGAACCGTGTGGCCTGGCAGATACGGAAGGACAACTGTACAGGGGTAAGCACACCACAGACGCACACCTGCAGACACATACACCTGCACACACACCTGCAGAGACACACACCTGCACACGCACCTGCAGAGACACACACCTGCACACGCACCTGCAGGCACACTCAGGGTCAGAGATGAATATGCTGGGCCAAGGGCTGACCCCATGCAAAGACTTGGAACGTTTACCTGGCACGAAGCTGACCTGCTTTGTCTGTCTTCCCATGGGCTGAAAACACGTGACGTGCTCAGTGACGCCTGGGAGGTCAAACACAGTCACCTTCAGACCCGGGTTCTCCCGGGCGAGCTCGTGGGCCAGGGCACCCGTGCAGCCTGTGGATTGTAAACACACACGCTGGGATCTGACCCTCCCGGCGCTGAGGTAACCCTGGGCGAGTCGCCAGAGTCCGACCTCAGCAAAACCAACACGATGGTCTAGAAAAATGGGTTGAGGCCCGCGCTGTGGCATAAGGGCAGGTGGTGGTGGAGATGGCCGATGTCTCAGGTGGGCCTTGGGGCCTCCCAAAGGAAGACCATGCAAGCTGCTGCGGGAACGCGGACGCGATGGCTGGTGCCACAGCAGCCACTCTGGGCCCCCAGTAGGAGCGGTGTGCACAGAGGATGGGGACGTGTCAGCTGGCAGCTCAGGACTCTGCTTCCACTGTACCCCCTGGCAGGGACGTGGATGGGGGGACACGGCGGGGCCATGACGGGAAGGGACTAGAGGACCTCTGGGAGGCCCCGCTGCTCCATCCACTGTCCTGGGTGAGGACTGTGCTGAGGTGGGGTGCAGGGTGTGTGGACCACAGTCAGACCTGATGAGATGGGGATAGACGGCTCCCCAGTTTCCTCTTCCACTCGGCAGCCACCAGGAAGGGCCCCAGAACCTGGACGGGGACCCTGGGGCCATCCCCAGGACCTCCCAGAAGTTGGGAGAATGTGGCCCGGCCCACACAGCCGCCCCCGCCAGATGTGTTTGGGACTTTGTCCAGAGAGAAACCCGTTTTGCAAGTCTTACGAGCAGGGGAGGAGCCCATGGTTTCACACAAGAGGAGACGCACACGGGGCCGTCGGTGCCTGATCCCTGGTGGGCGTACGCACCTCCCAGATCGCAGGCCGAGGAGAATCGGGACAGGTCGAAGGCTGTGGCCACCTGGCGAGCGGTCAGCTTGGCGAGGCCGTGCTTGGCCTTCATGAGACACAGCCTCGCGTCCGGGCCCGGGCAGGAGTCCTACAGCAGAGCAGGGTCTGAGCAGGCATTGCAGGCCCGGGCAACCTGCGCCACGGCCAGCTGCAGCCAGCTGGCATGTCCCCAGGCAGGGCCAGCATGGTACTGGTCCCCTGATTGTGACTGAGGCCTGGGGCACAGTGGTCACAGGGACGAGGCTGCAGGGCACAGCTGGGATGGAGGGACGGTGTCACCCCGCCTCGCCAGCACCGCTGCAGTCTGAGCCGTCCCCTAAAACCATGGCCTTTGCTCGGCTGATGTCACACAGCCTGGTCCCCACGGGTGGACCCACCGCCAGCTCACACCCCCATGGCCTGAGCTGTGTCCCCTCCGGCCCCCGCCCAAACCCTCCTCGACGCACCTGGCACTGACCCGAGCCAGCCTCCCAGCGCCAACACAGCGTGTTCTCAACACCCTGCTGGCTGGAGAGCCTCAGCCGGTTCTGTGTGACGCCCGGGGGCTCTGTCTCTGCGTCTCTGTCTCTCTCTCTCTGTATCTCTCTCTCTCTGTATCTCTCTCTCTCTCTCTCTCTCTCTGTGTCTCTGTCTCTCACAGTCTTTGTCAATCTGTCTTTCTCTCTGTTCCTCTGTCTCACTGTGTGTCTGTATTTCTGTCTTTCTGGGGTCTCTCTCCTCTGTCTCTCTCTCTCTCTGTCTCTGTCCCTGACCCCACCCTCGACGTCAGCCTCACACTCCGACAAGCTGATTTCTGTGTCACGTGAGCTCTGCCCTCGGCAGATGCAGCCGGGTAACGGCTGTGCGCTCCCACCCCCCACAAGCCCCTGTCCATACTGCGCTGCAGGCCCAGCGCGCCCACACCACACAGAGGTCTTGCACGTCACCCCCGAAAAGATCCCGGCTGGAGGGAGTGCACGGGGGAGACGGTGCAGGAAGTGCTTGCAAACAGAGGCCGCAGCCAGCACGTGCCTGTTCAGAGTGGCCACACGGTGGACGAGTGGCCGTAAGTCCGGCAAGCCGTCAGGCCCCTTCCGGGAGCTCCCTTCTCGGGCACTGCACAGCCTGGGACACCTGGTGCTGGTACAGCCACTGCCGCTGTGACAGCTAGCTCCCTGCCGTCCCCCCTCCGCCACGGATGCTCTTTCTGAGTCTCCCCTCTCCCCAGGCCCCTGGGGATCCCGAACGCACCCGTCCTTTTCGCTAAAAGGGGGCCCTTCGGGGGACGCTACCTGAAGCAGGCTTTCCCCCACGGCCCACTGGTCTGGGCTGCTGCCCTCCCGGACGGCAGACTCCAGCTGCGAAAAGGCTGCCCAGGAGTGGTTGTCGTTGAGCTCGATGAAGCCGTGCAGGGAGAACTCGCCGTCCGACAGCAGGTACCGGGTGGCCAGCTCGCTGTTACTGTAACCTGTAACCACGGGCCCGGTCACGTCCCGCAGGGAAGACCACGCGGACCTGACCCTGGCCAGGGCTGCCACTGCTTAGCCGCCATGGCAACGTCACGTACACGACGTCACCCACCTCGGTGCAAACCCTACGCTCGGACAGGGGCACAGCCCCGACCCACATCAGTGTTCCTCCTCAGACGGGCTCGTGTGCCACAGGCCATGCCTGCTGAGGCCCCCGGGATGGCCACTTGGCCAGGATACAGTCCTCAGTGGGTCAGGCCAACACCAGGCTACATGGTGCCACGGAGGCGTCTGGCAGGTGTCATCGCCACCCGCAGTGAGCTCAGGTCAGAAAGGACGCTGCTCGCTCACTCGGCGGTGGCGGTGGGCCTCGAAGGCCCGTCGAAGGCCTCACCAGCACAGATGGCGTTTCTCGGGGGGACAAGCAATTCTGCCTCCAGGCTGCCCGTCAGCGCCTACTGAGTCACCAGCCTGCAGGGCGACACGCACCAGCCCCCCCACAGCACAGCCGCGTCTGTCCAACACACCTCATCTACACCCCACCCGCTTCACACCCAGGCAGGCTCTCCTTACGACCCAGCACCCAGCCCTGCAGGACACCCCCACCTTCAGAATCGAAGGCGTGGCACTGTGGGGGTACAGGCGATCCTGCCCGAGACCCTTATGGGTCAACGGAGGGCCCCACACGACGCCGGTCATCGGAACAGCACTGTACTCCGTTCAGCGATGAATCTTTCTGCCTTGTGAGACCCGAGGGCTTCTGAGGAGCGGGCGTGCCCCGTCACAAGCGAGGCACTGCTTACGGGGCTCAGGTGCACACCTGGGCCAGACGTCTG